TATATATATATATATATCTATATATATATATATATATACACATATTTCAGAATCACAGGTTCTAAGCATAACTCAATTAAAATTCCTTCATCTATTATAAAAGACAGAGAGAAATTTTGGAATGAATTCTTTTTTAAATATTCAGAACAGGTATGAATAATTTCTGTGCCTTTTTTTTCAATATATACATATTTATATATCTTTTCTCTTTTCATGATAATAATAATTATTATATGTTTTAGGAATTTGAGGAAACTGAATTGAATATTTTTACATTAAAATCTAATAGAGAAAAAAGTCAGAACTCAATAGTGGAAACAAAAAAGGAGCTTGTGTGTAAACCACTAAGTGTAATACAATATTGGATAAATACAGGTTATCTACCCTACAAAACACTTTATATGAACAAGGACAAATCGGATGTTGAATTATTTACTGAATCTACAAATTCATCGCATCCTAGGTCTTCTAGTAGCTCTGTTGATACTGCTGCTTACATTTTATCAAATATGAACGTAACTAATAAAATAGAAACAATGGCTATTATAGAAGGAGCAAAAGATAATTCGGTAATAACTTCCCAGAGTGCACAAGATATTGGAATAATACAAGATAAAATGCACGAAATCAATAACGAAAACAATAATGAAAATGTTATATTGAAGAATAATAATGGTAGTATTATATTGGAGAATAATGATAGTAGTGCAAATAATATCCAACAAAAGAATATAAATGTAGAAGAATATATAACAAAAGCACAAAGAAATTCAGATAACGATGACGTAGACATATTGTCAGAAACAATTAATACAGATAATGAAACGACTGATAAATATAAATCTGATTATAATAAATTGTTGAACAAACAATTAACCTGTATATTTGATGATATTAATAGAAATTCTCATACTGAACAAAATGTGAAATTATCAAATGCCGAGCAACCTTACTTGATAAAAGAAAACCTTACGTTGGCAGATAGTTTTACAAAAATAGGACGAAAGAAGTTGTACACTGGTAGAGATTCACCTATTGATCTTATTAACATAGAAAGTAGTAACAGAAGTATAATATCTATATCAGACCAAAGTTTACATCCTGCATTTGATTTTGGATATAAGTCATCAAAAAAATTTAAAATTTATAACAAAAGAAAAATGTATCATTCTGCCCCATTTCATAAATTAATTAATAACAATCAATCTAGTGTTTTATATCATAATAAACATAAGAGACGTATAAAGAGGAGAACCTCATTGACTAATGTTATAAAAGATACTGTTTCTATAAATCAAAACATTACAGACAGGTCAATGTTAAATCAATATTTGGTGAAAGGTAAGATTGATAAATGCGTAAATAGTTCTTTCTATAAAAAGCAAGCAAACAAACGAAAGAAACTTAATGAATCAATAAATTGTTTACAAGAAATGAATATTGGAAGATATCAAAAAACTAATAATACATCAAAAGAATTGGAAAATTTAAATCCATTAGTTTACTTGACACGATTATCAAACGATGATATTGTAAAATATAAAAAGTTAAAAAAGACAACAAATAATAACAATCTAGATACAATTCGATTATTAGAAGTTAATACTAAAAAGTATAAAAGATCAAATAAAATGACGAATATGAAACACTTAGTTATTCGTTTATCACGTTTGTCAAAACATGATATTGAGAAATATAAAAAACCAAATAATATTAAATTAAATTTAAATCCAGTAGTTCGTTTAAAACGATTATCAGAGTTCGAAATTAAGAAGTATACAAAATCTACTAACATGATGAAAAGTTCTGAAAATTTAGATACAGTTACTTCATTAAATAGAATATTAAGTAAAAGTGATGTATCATTAAAATCTACCCAATTACAAAATGATAGTGCAAACGATGTTAATCAATTTTCTTCCTCAAATATTATGAACTTAATGACTGAAGACAATACTAGCGAAGAAAGTACTCTTTTTATTTGTAAATGTGATAGTATAGCATTTGATGACTGTTCTATAGATAATTCATCCATGTTTTCCAGAAGTAGTCTTCATTCTTGTTCTACCACTATAAAAAGTCATATGTTACAAAAAAAAAAAAGATTTTACAATAAAAGAAAGAGATTAAATAGTGAAGTTTGTAACAAGAAAATAAATACGTCAAAAAAAGCATATGTAAAAAAAGGAGTAAAAAGGTTAAATAATAAAAGATCATTAAAACTTAATACCAGTAAGAGTAACCTTAAGAGAGAGTATGCTACGAGAGATAGAAAATATACAAAAGTATATAGCATGGATAATTCTTTTAGTAATAATTCAAAAATTTCAAATATAAATAAAGATGTACTTAATACAAATGATATAGCAGTATGTCCCGATAAACCAAGGATAGTTTTTGAAAATAATAATGCAAATACAAACAATAAGAAAAGACAGTATATCATGTTTTCATCTGATGAAGATGATGAATTCATGAAACTTGTGCATTCAGAAGATATGCAAAAATCAAAACTAAGAAAACGGCATGAAACACTAAATAAAAATTTTAATACAGTGGAAAAATTAGAAATTACTTCATCAAATGAATCACTTTCTGATTCTCCAATTAAGAATACTAGATTTAAGGGAATGGATGAAAATTGTAATGAGAAGTTAATTAAAGTACGAACTGAAATCAAAAGTCAAACTAAATTATTACCTATGCAAAACAAAAGAAAATCTTTATGCTTTAGAACAAAAATCTTTGATTCTGATTCTGAATCATTGACAGCATCACAGTGCTCATTTAATTTGTCTGTGGATAACGAATGAAATGTAGTAATTGACTTTGTTATTTAACAAATTTTAAAAACAAGAATCTCTTGAAATTTTTTATTGAGTTAGAATGGAACAGATTTTACATTTACAATTAGTCTGTATTATTTCTACCCGCATCGTTTTAAATGACAAATATAAAGAAAAAATAGAAAAGGGGAAAAAAGTTTTAGAATGTTTTATAACCAATGTAGCAATAATGTGTGTTAATGTTTATATATTTATGACATGTAATTTTTTTTGTTTCGTCTTTTATAAGAAAAATGCTGTCTAGCAAGAAAACATGAAATATATTTGAACAGACCTATCAAATGAAGATTTTAATTTATAATATCAAATTTTTTTTATGTAAAAAGTAGTAACATAATTCTTATTGTTCGAAAGAAATAAATAATTCAGATATTTAAATTGTGTAAAAAGATTTTTAAAACAGAAATTTATTGACAGTAATAATTTTGTATTTCTAACAAGAAATTATAAAAGTTAATTGATACTGTAATGAAAATATAGAACATAGAAATGTACTGTTTATATTCCAATCTTTAAATTCCTGTCCAGTGAGCAATAAACAAAGTTCTGTTGTGTCTCATGAAGTACATCACATGTAATACATCTCCAATATATTTTACATATGTTTGTAAATAAATTAAAATAAACTTGTTTCAACACAGTGTACATATAGTTACAAA